TGCTTTTTAAAACTGTAGTCTATCTGACCTTCCTTTTCGGCTCACTTTGATAGGTGCTTACATACCACAGTGACACATGAGTATGTAGAAATATATAGATTGTTGCAGTGACAGAAGGAAAAGCAGGGACTCTCTTCTGCATTAACATCTGCCATCTCTAAAATAAATAAAAGCTTTAAAGAGGCTCTTCTCCTACCAGATAGTGTTACAAGAAACAAAAACAATGTTCTGAGCATCCCTGACTTTGGATCTGTTCATTTAACAATTAGTTACTTGGATAGACTATCCAAAAAAAAAAAAAAAAACAAAGCAAAAAAACCCGGAAAAAACGCAGCAGCAACAATAAGAATTGTTGCAATCTGACATGTGAGAAAGATCCTCCTTTAAAATACTTTGCACTCATCCAGTACAATCTCTGTATTCAAGACAACACCTAGCTGTGTGCTTAGGTATTCTGCTGGGAGAGGTCTGAAAACGCCTTAGACTTTGTTATCTGAGACAATCTTTTTTGAGATTTATATATTTTTTACAAACTGTAAATTCTTTTCCCTTTACTTTTTTTTTTTTAAAAAAAAACCTTATCCTGAGTATACAAAACATTATTTGACTTATATAGTACAAGAATATGGAGTTAATGGTCCGAATTTCCAGTTTTGCAGTCTTATGTTGGCAGACTTCACTCTTGCTGCAAAATACATTTAAATAAAGAACTACAACAACAAAAAGCCGGAGTTGTTTGAAACAGAAGCCCCTCCCCCTGCCCCGTTCTACCTAACAGATCAGTAGAATGAACTGCTTTATAAAGTGCTTGTCTGAAAGTGTAAGGAAAGCTCTAAGCAACTGAAGTATCCTCTGCTTCCCGAGCTGGGCTTCCACTTAGCACTGACAAACCCTGTGACTGACAGTTGTGCCAGAGGGAATTCTGCAGATCCGCTTTGAAACATCTCAGTAAGGCACCGCAGGTGGGCAAGCTGCCTGGCTAATGCAGTGCTAGCAATCTCTGGTGCTTTTTATCATGTGCATAAAACCAAATTATCAGCTGTTTCTAAACAGACATTGCTTGTATCAACTGTGACTAGAATTTGTAACTATCACACTTGAATACATCACTGCCACAAATGTGAAAAATATTGCCGAGTCAAGGGCTTCTTTGGAAGTTGCTGAGGAAACAAAACAAAGAGAGGGAAAGGGTTTGTTTTGTTAATTTGCATATCAATCCTTAAAAAGATTGCTCTTACAAAGCTGCACTGTGTCTCCTTCCTGGAAGTCTGCCTCACATGTCGAGAAAAAGAAAACAAACAATTTTGCTAGAGATTACTGTATATTAATTGATTATTATAAATAAGGACAGTGAGGATAACATAAGGAACAGAGTGGTGGTTTCAAAAGCAGCAGGTGATTTAGCCATATGTCTTCCATCAAAATCAGTTTCTCTCCAGAAAATGCTGTAGTCCTTATTTTCTTTTTCTTTTATTTTTCTCCTGCACAAGCAATAAACTGACTCGGAAAAGTGGTAATGGATCAAGCTCTGTTCTGGTTTTTTTCTTTCTTAAACTATCTACCAGGCTGCTAGACTGTGCTGTGCCAGTCTGACAGTAATTTTGTATATCCCATTATAAAACGTGCAGTACTGCTGTATAGCACAGTAAGCTCTCTAAGAAAACCAAGTCATTAGAAATGAGCCATTTTGGAGATAGACACTGAATAGGAGAGAACACTGATTGATTAACACATATGTATTGTCCACCCCACATTACTGAAATGGCTTTTCTGAATAACTTTCGACAGGGTCAAATAGTTATTGCCTGGCCACAAATCATGCATACCAAATTTGAAGATGAAAAGGGCTTTATAGACGATTGTAAGGTGTGGGCCAAGACTGGATTTATTTTGGAAAGTAGGTTCCAGCTTTAACTACTGAGTACCCTCTACTGGTTCAAGATTTGCCCACAATTTAAAAAAAAAAAGGCTTATTTTGGCAGTATAATTTAGTGGTTTCTACTAAAAAACTTAGTGGTTTCTATTAAAAAACTTAGTGGTTTCTGTCCAAAAATCTTGAGTTGGAAGGCCTGTTTTGTGTCAGGACAGATTTTGAGGTCTGCATATTACTTTGTGTGCATCAGTAATTATTTCACTCATATAATACCATTTAGCCAAGGATCTCAAAATACCCAGTTAAAACTCTTAAGTAGAATTGGTGAGGCATTTTGTGGCTATAGGCTGCAGGAACACTCTAAGGCCTCGATGATTAACGCTTCTAGAATAATTATGCTCATATTCATTAAAATATATGGTAGCAATGATAAATAGTGGTATATTTAAAATCCTGCTGTATGGCAGAAGAAATGTTAAGTAGTCACTCTTAGAAAAGCCTGTTCTACTAGTTAAGCATACCCAGAAAGATAGCTCTCTTGATTCAAGATCTGATTTACTGCTTAATTTATAAAAAGAAGTAGACAAACCAGTTTTCCCAAACAGTGTTAGCATGACTTCTTCCATGCTTGAACAGAGGTAGTTCTCATTTTCCAATTTTTGTTCAATACTCAGAAACATTTACAAAGACAGGCATGGGAATGCCTACAGCTGGAAGAGTGTGTAATAACAAGCCCCGAATGCTGGTGTGTGATATGTGAGAGAGAAAGGGATCACTGTAGGCACAACTATCGCTTCTGAGCTGGAATATGGGTAATCATGTGGAGATTCATGTGATCAACTCAGGAGGGCTTTGATTCTTGTAGGTAGCTGAACCAGTATGATTAGATAATTTTTTTTCAGAAATTTTAAACTCCCCCACCAAGCCCCCCCCTTTTTTTTTCCCTTTCTGTGCCACTGAAGTCAAGTCTACATAGCACGCTGCTGGGGGAGCACTCAGATTTTTGTTAATCCTCTCTCATCATATTCACAACAGCTAATTTTGCACGGTGCTTACTGGCATAGTCACAGCTGTGTAAGTTGGACTCATTTAATCGGGTTATTTACTTTTCTGTGCCATATTCTAAATGGGTAGAAGTTGCCATAGTCTAGCTGCAAGGGATACCATCTGTATTGGGTTTGCGTGGCAACGTTTTGGTAGCGGGGCGGGGGTATGGGGGTGGCTTCTGTGAGAAGCTGCTAGAAGCTTCCACCATGTCCGATAGAGCCAATGCCACCCGGCTCCAAGACGGACCTGTTGCTGGCCAAGGCCGAACCAATCAGCGACGGTGGTAGTGCCTCTGGGATAACATATTTAAGAAGAGGGGGAAAGAAAGAACCTGGCACAAACTGCAGCTGGAATGAGGAGTGAAAATATGTGAGAGGAACAACTCTTGATGTCTGCATCAAGGTCAGCGAGGAAGGAGTGGGAGGAGGTGCTCCAGGCACCGGAGCAGAGATTCCCCTGCAGCCCGTGGTGAAGACCATGGTGAGGCGGGCTGTGCCCCTGCAGCCCATGGAGGTTAACAGTGGAGCAGATATCCACCTGCAGCCCGGGGAGGACCCCACGCCGGAGCAGGTAGAAGTGCCCGAAGGAGGCTGTGACCCTGTGGGAAGCCCATGCTGGAGCAGGCTCCTGGCAGGACCTGTGGCCCCATGGAGAAAGGAGCCCACGCTGGAGCAGGTTTGCTGGCAGGACTTGTGACCCCATGGGGGACCCACACTGGAGCAGTCTGCTCCTGAAGGACTGCACCCTGTGGAAGGGTCCTGCACTGGAGCAGTTCATGAAGAACTGCAGCCCGTGGGAAGGACTCACATTGGAGAAGTTTACAGAGGACTGTCTCCCATGGGAGGGACCCCATGCTGGAGCAGGGGAAGAGTGTGAGGAGTCCTCTCCCCTTGAGGAGGAAGGAGCGTCGGAAACATGTGATGAACTGACCACAACCCCCATTCCCCATCCCCCTGTGCCACCTGGGGGGAGGAGGTAGAGAAAATTGGGAGTGAAGTGGAGCCTGGGAAGAAGGGAGGGGTGGGGGAAAGTGTTTTAAGGTTTGGTTTTATTTCTCATTATCCTACTCTGGTTTGATTTGTAAAAAATTAAACCAATTTTCCCCAAGTCGAGTCTGTTTTGCCTGTGATGGTAATTGCTGAGTGACCTCCCTGTCCTTATCTTGACCCATGAGCTTTTCATTATGTTTTCTCTCCCCTGTCCAGTTGAGAAGGGGAGTGATAGAGCAGCTTTGGTGGGCACCTGGCTTCCAGCCAGGGGCAACCCACCACACCATCATCTCTTCATGTCTCCTCATAGCTTATTAGTTAAAGACACTTCTTCATTAAAGGCATTTTTTAATGTGGTCTTTGTTTAGGAATAAACTTTCTGCTGAGACCGATGTAGCAATCATCACATGCTATCATTGGCTATTCACAATGGGAGAGATTTAGCGAGATCTCTTTGGCTGTAGAAAGTAAACTGTATGCAAACGAGATAAATTCAATGGTAATGCAAACTGCCTGTATCTTCTGATCTGCAAGTGTGTCATATTTACACTGATCATGCTGTATTGTAAATCGTGATTTATGAATTGGTCATGCACAGATGTGTTACCTTTACAGATAAATACATCATCTTTCTTGGTAAGTTGGAACTGAATTTGAAATAAAAGCTTCTCAGAATAAAAACATTTCCTGGTATTCAGTGGTTGTTTGGCTTCAGTCCTTTGGTTCGGATTCATACACAAATGAAGTCTCACTGCAAATCTTGGATTCATACTGACCTAATGTGAGGGCAGGGGAATAATATTTGTTCAGAACTATAGTTTTAAGCAGTGTTACCTCATGTGCATTGAACAGTGTGGGGCTGATCTCCAGTATATATGTGTGTATTTATACAGAAATAAATAAATAAAAACAGATATGTGTCTGTCAGCTGTTCTGTATAGGGAACCCAGATTTCATGAACTGCAGATTACTTAATTTGACCACAAAAGGATTGCCTGAACGATTGCATAGTTTTGGAGAAGATTTTATCCTGTAAATATTGGAATATTTATATGAAAAGTAAAACTTTTCCCATTCTGTTTTTATTAAAGGAAAACCACTGCAGAAGAATAAAAATCCTAGGGGACTGTTACTACTGTGTATCAGGATTGACCCAGCCCAAAACAGATCATGCTCATTGCTGTGTTGAAATGGGACTGGATATGATTGACACCATCACGTAAGTACTGTGCACAATGAACCCGGACAGGAGTGCTACGACAACTTCTCGGTGGCATTCAGGAAGTGTGTTCTCAGAAAAACAGCAGTGTCTGCTAGCAGTGCCCACCTAGCAATTCAAACTGTTGCATTCAGGTCACAGTATACTGGTTTTAGGAAGGGTCATTGTAGACATCAATTTTCCACTCCATTTAATCACTGTGAGGAAAAAAGTGCATGAGTATGTAGAGACACATACATGTACTGATTAGGGGACAGAAAGATACTGGGAAATAAGAAGGTATTCCTATGTCCATTTGCCACAAAGAAAGGAGTCCAATTTCTTATTTTACAGGGATAAATACTGCTCATTTTGCACACCAGTATGTGTGCAACTCAAAGCCAGTCCTGATGTATGCATGTTGTATATGTGTTTGTATTCTCAAAATGATCACTTGCTGATTTCTCCTTTCTGTATGTCATGTTTAAATCCTTAATTTATTCTGCTTTTCAGAAATGTAATGTGAAATTCACTTTGCTGATCAGAAGAATTTTTTTATGCTGAGAGCTCTGCACTGATCATTATTTTTACTGAGGCAAAAAATGTGAATGTGAGAGAACTGTGAATGAACTTTTAGCGAGAGCTGAAGATCTATTTCATTACATAGGAGGGAAGGGATAAAGATGGGAAACGTCTTCACTACTGTATTGCTCTGTGTGTGTGTGCGTGCGTGTGCGTGTGTTCTACAGGGAGGCTATAGGAGGGAGTGCACACCTGTATTAATTCTGTATATAAATAAACACTGGTCAGCACAGTGCTGTTACCTTTGGAATGAGCTTGCACAAGTGTGTCACATTAGGGGCCTTAGCCTGTTCTATAGGGGAAAGTGTTTGGCCACTGTTTCTAGTAGCCAGTTATTCTTTCTCTCTGTTGTCAGCTGGGCTGTTGGGAATATGGCATTGACTCAAGTTTCTGCTTCCCCTCACTTAATCCCCAAGTTTTTGTATTGTTACAGAGAGAATACCTGCCTACTCTGTGAAGGTGAATAGACCACAGTGTAATCTCAATTTTAAACTATTAAATAAAGAAAAGAAATTACAGAATAAGTAAACATAAGGCTTATGAATTCAAGTTATGCATTTTTGATTTGGAACATTTCACCTTTTTATTGTTTCTAATAAAGCTTTTGCCACGTCGTATATTTCATGTCTCCCATTTGTATGTGAAGATGTTTATGTGCATATATGCACACAAAGAAGTTGTTTTTCCAAAACTAAATTGTGCTCATTTGTTGGGAGTCTTGGTGTTGTAGAAGAATGTATTATGATCCTCTCACAGAGTTCACTGTAAGTTTTGCTCAAGAGAGTTGGGTTTATCTCTAAGGAAGTAATGGCTAGTTGTTCAAACCTTGCTAATGCCTTAGGGGAACATGGACATCACCGCACATTGTTGTTGTTTCATATCAACCTTAAACTTTTCCATGAACCTCTGTTCATTGAGCTTTCTTTGCAGAGGACTTGAAAGCATAGAAAAAATGAGAGAAGTACTTAAAGCAGTTGAAGGCTGATTCTCATTTCTGGCTCAGTCTATGTGTTTTTACTATAATGTTCATTTATAAAATCTCTCAGAATGTGAAGAGCTGAGTAAATTAGTCCCTGTTCTCCCTCTCATTCAATGCAAGTTCGTCATCTTTGTAAAAATTTTAAAATTTATAAACACTTTGAAATCTGTGATAATATATGATAGTCTGTGATACTATAAAATCCTAAGAGAATATCCTAAGTCTGCAAATTATGTATATGTGCATTCTTCCAGCAGTCTATGGATACTCCATTTATAAGGAAGCCTTGGCCTTTAGAAGCATAGTTAGATATACAGGCCTTATACACATTTTCAGAGTCTTTTTTTTTTAAATCCCTGGAAAGCAGTAGCTGATGCTCTCATCCTCTTTTAAACCTAGCATTAATCTATAATTCATTAGTTGTGCTGTGTTTCATGTATACAAATAAGGTAGTGATGTAACTGTCTGGTCTTTCCTTTTTTGAATGTTTCCATTTTACTAATACTAGAAATTAAACATGTTTCCTTTTTATGTTGTCATTTATTGGGTGCTGTCATGATAATGTAAACTTGAAAAAGAAGTTGAATTAAAAAGGGAGGAATGAACTGGGGCTGTTCAGGCTGAAGAAGAGAAGACTCAGGGGGAATCTTACCAGTGCATACAGATACCTGTTGGGAGGGTGTAAAGAGGACAAAGCCAAACCTTACTCAGTGGCATCCAGTGTCAGGGCAAAAGGAAATGGGCACAGGCTGAAATACAAGAAATTCTATTTAAATATAAGAAAAATTTTTTTTACTGCAGAGATCATCAGATACTGGAGAGGTTGCACTGGAAGGTTATGGACTTTGCATCCTTGGAGAGATTTAAAACCCAGCTGGACACAGTCGTGGGCATCCTTCTGTAGCTGACCCTGCTCTGGGCAAGGGGGTTGGTCTAGATGGTTTCCAGAGGCCCCTTCCAGCATAAGCAACTCCATGATTCTAAGCGGATGGGCTGTAGTGTGTTATCTAGACATGTTTAGTCAGAGGCTGTGGTAGAAGATAACTGACAATTTCAACGTTTTATTTTTTAAACAATTCATAACTTCTAAGTCTTTAGAGTATGTAGTCAGTAGTCAGAGCATGATGAGAGGGCAAGATGGGGAAGAGGCAAGGTTATAAGAGAGTGCCAGATTTATTTGGGGTTGTTGAAAGGCTAGACACCTATTCTGCATCCCTTGTACATAAGCACAATAAATTAATCAATTTTTTCTTTTTTTTCAGTGAGGAATTAGTAGTGTGAGTAAGGACTGTAAGATCCAGGCTCAACGCATATTTCTTCTGTTAGTTAAATGTATTTGCCTGTTCTGCTTAAGTTAGGAAACAGGAAGATGGTACATTCCAAGTACCATTGCCCTTGATGGCTGTCCTGGTTTCAGCTGGGATAGAGTTAATTCCACCCCACCTCCCCTCCCCAGTAGCTGGTATAGTGCTGTGGTTTGGATTTAGTATGAGAATAATGTTGATAACACACTGATGTTTTAGTTGTTGCTAAGCAGTGCTTACACTAGTCAAGGACTTTTTCAGCTTCCCATGCTCTGCCAGGTGCCCAAGAAGCTGGGAGGGGGCACAGCCAAGACAGCTGATCCAAAATGGCCAAAGGGATATTCCATACCATATGATGTCATGCGCAGTGTATAAACTGGGGGGAGTTGGACCGGGGAGCAGGATCGCTGCTTGGGGACTGGCTGGGCATCAGTCAGCAGGTGGTGAGCAATTGCATTGTGCATCACTTATTTTGTATATTATTGTTGTTGTTATTATTATTATTACTATTATTCCTTCCTTTTCTGTCCTATTAAACTGTCTTTATCTCAACCCATGAATCTTACTTCTTTTTTTCCCGATTCTCTCTGCCATCCCACTGGGGATGGGGAGAGGGAGCGAACTGTGTGGTGTTTAGCTGCCTGCTGGGTTAAACTACAACAATGGCAGTACTGTTTTTTTCTTTTACTGCAAGCGGAGCATCATCTTTTCCGATATTGTTGGATTCTGGGTGAGGTTCTTTTGGTGACAGAAGCACACAGCTAAGCCAACTGCACAAAGAGCTCCAAACCAGGAAAATAGGTTCTGCTGAAGATTAGGAAAAAACTCTTCACTCCTTCACAGAGACCAAAGTTAGAAGACAGATTCTCCAGATTAATTTGTTTGAAAATATATTGAGCAAATGAAAAGGAGAAGTGAAGGGCTTATGATGGTAAAGCTGGAATGCAACATTTTATTTTCTGTTGGTATGTTTATTAGGTGATGTTGTTATCCATCCCATGAGATGCAGAGTCACTTTTGGTCTTAAAATGCCCCCTTTCATCCAGAGTTGGAAGCCAGCTGGTAGTCTTCTAAAAGTCTTTTCACTTTACTGCAGAAATCAGGTCTTGGCATTGGAAATTTATGCTTGGAAGTCATCATCCATTGTCAGGTTTCTCATGTTACCGGGCATAAATAAATAAGTAAAATCACTTGAATTGTGATTCAGCTGATGGAGCTGTGAAAACTATGGGTCCCAGAGATATGTACCACCAAGATGTCATTTTTCCAGGAAATCAAGGAACAGAAGCTTCTAGTGGCTGGTTGATGGATCTGTGATTTGGCTGAGCTGAATGTTATAATGAATTCATATAAATTTAAACTTTCTATTCTCTTCATGTTCTGTGTCACTTTTATTTAACTATCCTAGAATATGGTGTTGCATTACATTTAGATTGAAATTTTCAGGGTAATTTTCAAAGAATATTATAAAATACTTAAAATTTTCACACTTTCCTCTGCCTTCTACAAAGTATTTTTTTCAAGGGCACAGTTAAAGTCAGACCAGAATCACCAGAATCATTACTTCTCCCAAGTAACAAGCAATAGGACAAGAGGAAACGGCCTCAAGTTGTGCCAGGGGAGGTTTAGATTGGATATTAGGAAAAATTTTTTCATCGAGAGGGTTGTCAAGCATCGGAACAGGCTGCACAGGGAAGTGGTTGAGTCCCCATAGCTGGAGGTATTTAAAAGACATGTAGATGTGGTGCTTAGGGACATGGTTTAGTGGTGGACTTGGCAGTGCTAGGTTAATGGTTGGACTTGATGATCTTAAAGGTCTTTTCCAACCTAAATGATTCTATGATTCTATGATTATGGAGGGATCTTTTTTTTCTTAAAAATACCAACAAAACAGATAATGTTAAATTCTTTTTCTATTCTGAAAGAATTTCTGCTGCCAATGAGTTTTGTGTCAGTGCCTCAGTAGAGGCCACGTGTTTGTTCTACTTCAGAGTCACTTAAACCATCATGGCAGTATTTACGTGGGAGTTAAGTGTTGGATACCACTGGTCTTGCTTTCATCAGGTGAGTTTTAACTGTCAGATTTTCGTTAGTAATGTAATTAAAATTGTCATGTTCATTAGCGCCTCTAATGTGCCAGATGTTGTTGTAATGTG